ACACTTACACATAGGCGTGCTGCCGGCTAGGCGCTTCCTTTACATAGCAACGAACGACTGAACGCGGAGCACAGCAGATAGAAATGGTTCGTTTTTACTGAGGGAGGAAAACCCGGAAAGACCCGGAAAAACCCTCGACGCAAGGGAGAGAACGAAAGAAACTCAAATCACATATGGCGCCCCCGACCGAGATTCGAACAGGGTCCACAGAGGTGACAGGCCAGCGCTCTCACCGCTCGGCCACCCATGCGTCCCAAACAAGAACGCATTCACCTTTCCTTTCATTTGTATTTCTTGTGTTGTGACAAAACATGAAAGTGATGGGATTTGGTCCAGGGGGGTACTCTCCGGGGTAAAAGTACCGGGGATGCTCAAAGGAAATAAAATCTTTAATAGATATCAGTAAGATATAGCTTCCCTGCAAATGCACGTCTATTGCCAGTGTAGGAAATCATCACTTGATATTCCGGTCAGCGCACATGCACCATCCACACTACTTTGGCAAACTATGCAAATTGTTTCATGATGCTATTACAGTACTACTAGTAGATTTATTGGAATCATGATATATTAGATTACATTTTTGGGGCATTGAACTTATATAGTTTAACAATTTAACAATATACTAAGGATTGTTAAAGTTGTTCTTCCCTATGTCCCTTTGTTTACTGAGATTACAAAAGCCAATGACATGTCTCTCGTACACGTTGGTCTACATTACAACAATTATTTTCAAGTTGAAATGTTAGGTAAAGATTTACAAAACTTTTGCATGAAGAAAAACATAATAACATGATTTATCATATGACCCGTATTTCGGACCTACGCGCGCTCTCACTGAAACCTTTCGAAAATGGTCACGTGATGGGGTCCGTACGCCTTTTCGCGAAAGGTCCGTACAAACCCGTATTTTCCCGGCTTGAAGTTCCGCGCGCTTTTATTTATTTTTTTTTTTTACATTAAAAAACGCTGTCATATGATAAAATGCTTATTGACTGAGTTAGGTCGGGCCGTACGGGAAAATATTTGGCTCTCGGTCATTTGTACGGACCTCGCTGCGCTCGCTCCGTACGGCATAACCTCGAGCCAAATATTTTCCCGTACGGCCCTCCCACTCAGTCAATAAGTACATAGTATTTCCATTCAAAAAAGCAGAAATTGTCAACAGTAATGGAATATTTGAATATATACCCCTGCGCCCTATTTGTTTTACTTCCAGGGAAAGTTGCCAATATGCAGTCTTACTGTGTTCATTTTTAAAATCAAACTGACCAAATTTCGTAATTAACTAATCAGCAGTTTATTACCAATAAATTTATTACTTTGAGCATGAACCCTCACGTGCAGTAAGATTGAGTCTATAGGCCGGTAAGACAGGTAACTCGCTTAGAGAAGTATGGAAAAATTATATTATTTTTTTTTTATTTGGCGCCATGCATGTTGTTGTTCCTGATTTCTTCCTGGAGTATTATAAACATTACTATTTATATGAGTTCGAAATCCGTATTATGCATTCCAATAAAAACCATGGAAATCTTGACCAATTTGAGACTGTCATTTGTCTTTGTTCAAGACCACAAACACTAAAGGTATGCAACATTATTTCCCCTCGATACTTGTAAATTAGGCTAGTTCTGTTGTTACCCAGTTGCTTACTAAAGTCATTACATTCAACCCGTGATACACTAACTGAATGTTAGTGAATAGTTAGTGAAATGAGAAGCAATAAACTTAGATATTGCCTGCTACTACTCCAGTCTTGGTAGTCTACTAACTCTATCCTGGGTTAGTACGTGTAATGACTCGACCAACCATCTGAACCAATGGTATCATATGCCTAGAGCAAATGTGGTGCATATTTTTAGTGTTTGTACTCTACTAAACATACCCCCTTAACATAAAGACTTAATTTCCTTTAGCAATCATTTACAATATTCTTGAGATACGAAAGTCAATAAAGACCATTAAAGCAATTACTTCTAATCTTTAGAGCATTTTGGTCTTTCGGCACATGGAGCAAGTTTGTCCTTGACGTAAGCTGCCGTTGCTGCACCAGTTGAAAAGACGGCAGTCTTTGCCGCGACCCCTAAGCCCGCTGCGCCAACACCCTGAAGGCCTGCAAACACACTTCCTGAAGCCACAGCTCCCCCATACACTGCAGACTGGACTCCAGCAGCCAGCGAACCAGCAGCAACTCCTGCACCAGTGAATCCAGCAGCACCAAGAACAATAGGTGTTGCAGCTACAGCTAGAGTACCTCCTGCTATGCCCGCAACCGCATAGCCTGCCAAGCACGACCAGTCGGTTTTACTTTCATCTGCTTCATATAAACAAAACGTGTTTTCAAGTCCAACTCACCCAATTTTTTTTTAATTTGGAAAGAAAAGTTTAGGAGTTATGAGCCACAAATTCACAATTAAAAAAAAATCGAAATTCTATATTTTTTATGCTCGTTACAAAATTCGGCCAAATGATTTTTGACCGAGCGCCAGGGAGCCTGGGTTGATGACGTAGAGGGAGTAACTCGACCTTCGGTAAATACAAAGTTTACTGTGGAAATGGCCCATATGTCATTACAAATCTATATTTTCTATGACTTAACGTGGGACTATTCAACCTGGAACGGCAAATCTAATCCTACTGGAGAATCGTCTGACGATTTTAACGTTATTTTTATGCCTGGGCTATTAAAAAGTAAAGGAGGGGAGATATCAAAGAAAAACGGCAATTTACGCCTTAATTCATAACTAAGACCACATCATAAGGTAAGACAAATGTTTTTTACTTATTTTTTCTTTCAAAAATTTCGTATTTACATGCATTATAGATATTGCTATAATCTGCTAGTTAAGTGCTTAGCTTGGGCTGCCTGTGATAACATCAGCAATTTTATTAAAAAAAAAAAAACAATTTTGAATCAAATGCTCTGCTTGGGTTGCCTGTGCCCTGGCCAGTCAATTCTGAGAATACCGGAAGTACAAATTCTCTCGCTCGAATCGAGAATTATAATGAAAATTGCACTAAAATAACCCTTAAAATAACTGTTGTTATTATCAAGAACAGGACTTGGGTTCTTAAATGTGGTTCGATCCAAATTAGTTTTATGTAACTTTTTATCAATTCTACGATTCAACGCCAAATGACTGATTACCGAAGGTTAACATGTGAGCATTGTCGCTTTTGTCGAGGTTCTGTTCAAGATTTCATCTTTAGCAAAGGGAACTTCGATTAATACTCAAAACTTTCATTGATCATGTACTTTAAACAGTAAAGTATAGCATTATCTTATAAAAAAGCCGAGTTCTCATTTTTAAAAGAGACCATTCCATAGAGCGGTGAATTTAAAGTGGAAAGTCAGCACATTTTCACTCATAGTCATTTCACTTACCTTCTGCTCGAACTGGAACCAAACACGTAAGAAGTAGCACAAGACAAACGTTGGCAGAGTTTTTCATGACGGAAAACTCAATAAGTATTGTGTTTCTTCACAGTGATTTCAACTACAAGAGAACTCGTTGAAGCAGGGCAACACTAAAACAAAATTAGACCCTTACGTGAGAGACGCTTAGGTGTGACATGGATGGCGTGACAGTTTTTTCGCGACTTTAACTGTGATTGGTTGGTTTCGATAAGCTTACAAGACCGGACCAATCGGATTTCCCCGAATTTGTTAGGGTGCCCTAATTAAGCTAAATTGGAGTACGGCCTCAAAACTGAGGTTAAAATGCATCTATACTATGGGACGACATGCTTTCGTCAAGAATATCGGAAATTAAAAACAGCAATACCTCAACTTTCTGAGTGATTTGTGAAGTCATTTAACGTGAAACAGAGCATATTAACTATGAACAGAGTGGTATCCAAAGAGACACACAAGGGAAATAAAAAAGGTATATTAGTTTAATATCTATTTCGTGTTTTTTGTATTTGTTTTTGTTTTTTTTTTTTTGCTTCCCACTTGAGACATTCCCTTTGCAGTAATGCTGATTTTTGAAATTAAACAAATTCAGTTTGGAATGGATTTTATAAAGCCGCGAAAAAAATTTGGATAGTCAAAGTGTAAAACTCTAAACGACAAAGAAAATGCGTAACGGCCCTAATGGGATTGGGGAGGGCCGACCGAGCGGGGAGTGGGGAGGAAAATAGGAAGGGCCTGCAAGCGGACCCCACGGTTTTACGAAACGCCCCCTAATTAATATTTTCAAAAGTCTGGCAAATCTAACTTTACAGTTGTCAAAATAAACCAATCACGAAGCGCTATCAGTATGAGGTCGCGAGGTCAACGGACAGGAGAACTAATATTTTTGTAAACATGCTACATCATCAACAACCAGAGCCACAATTCCTGAAACAAAACTTTTATTGTTCTTGTCTATGAGAAAGTCCGTGAAGCGTCTGTCCAAAGCACTTTCAGCGGAAGCATATATAACATCTACACTCGATATTAACATGTCTAAATTGCGTCAACCAGATTACATCCCTTGAGTCCAAGAGAATCTATTTCCAAGATCTGGTCATTTATAATACTAACTAACGGAGAAATAACTATAACAAGAGGAGAGATCTCTTGGAAGCGAAGCTCGAAGCGAGACAACAGAACCAGCACTTGAAAGATTAAACTTTTTTCCGAAGCCAGTCGTCAAGATCGCCACCAAGTCTTTCTTTTTTACGTACAGTTGTTCTAAAGCTTGTCGCTGTTCTTCTTTTAGTGAAATTTTGAAGCCTTTTTCTTTTAAATCGCTTAAAGCACGCTCTAACCGATAACAAAACTCTTCTTCATCGCCCGCCAGGTTTGTATAAACGCCAACTTGACCTGGTATCTATCACTTTGACATTTGATTGACAGCTTGCTGCTCTCGACCAATAGGGAATTTACGGCCAAATCGAACTGTAGATTTCGTAAAACCGTGGGGTCCGCTTGCAGGCCCTTCCTATTTTCCTCCCCACTCCCCGCTCGGCCGGCCCTCCCCAATCCCCTTAGGGCCGCTACGCAGGCTA